TCCAAAGCAGGCATGTCATAAATGTGCAGGCATATCACCCATGCAAACGCGCTTATCTTCCTATTGAATTACTGAATAAATCTCTTTCCCTGATATTGAAGATAAAAATCATGTTACCTGTCCATTATTGAAATATCTAATACTGCATCCATTGACATGTGTTATTACCGTGGCACCCATAATACCAAAGTAATTTATCTGAAGAAAACGAGAACATTTGTAAAATTTCACGGCGGGCTATGAGTACTTACTTCCACAGCACGATCGCAACTTAGCCAGCGAACATCCGAATTACTGTACTCGTATAAATCACAACCGCACTCAGTCGTCGTGACCTTTGTCCAGTCTCCTGAAAATGGTAGCCAGAAATGCTATGTGAAAGAAATGCATAACGTGGTAATCGGCTATTGATGCACAAACTGTGAACTATTCAGAGCACGTCGTACGTTGGAGGATCCCCAGCGGGCGGAGGGGGGGGTGTATTCAGTGGGAGACAGGGAGTAAAATCTACCTTCGAGAGAAAGTTGCGGCATTTGTTGTTAACTTTGCTTTTCTGGGTTTTCCCGTTTCACATAACCTAGACTCCACCCCCTTCCCCTCCCCCAGCCGCTCGACAGCAAAACTTTAGGAAAAGTAGAAGATTTTCGGGAATCCCGAAAAACCGAAAGAAGTGTTAGGGAGCAGGAAGTTGGGAAAACCTAGAAAAAAGGTTGGTGCAGTGGGGAAGGAGGGGTGGGTCATATCAGAGGAGGGAATTAGGGGGTCGTATTATCCGTAAATCTTCCCAGCAGCAGGGCTGGATCTATTACACTTACTGAGCACACGTATGACATTAACAATGTTTAATCTCACCTATTCCGTTCTTAAACAAGCGACAAGGACCAAAATAAGCAGCACCCTCTTCCACCAATTCCTAGAACAAGTAAACTTTTGGTAATCTGTATAACCGGTATAACCATGTATAGCTGACATAGCCGGTGGGGTGGTATCAGGAGGCGTGGAATGAACCTACCACTTCTACCAGTCGTGGGAACCTTGGTGTGGGCTCAATCCACGCCTTCTGACACTAGTAAAAATCAATTTCAAAAGCTACCATCAGGTAGGATCCCTTTTTAGGAGTTCTTCCATCATCCAGAAGACTAGCAGGAGCAGTTTTGTCTGCCCAACTGACGCACTTCGACCTCTCTACTGAAGGCCTTCGAGGTTCGCGTGTTTCGCTACGGCGATCCAATATCTGCTCTTCATTGGCGGTCTAAAAATATGCAAGCTGTAAGATTCTCCAGCTTCTCTCTTCTTGCAACTTCGGCATGAGTTGTAAGTGTTAATTAGTTCTGCCTTACGAGGTTGTTAGGTGGAACATTATTAATTAGGCCTAACGTTTCGACTGGTTCGTCGTCTTCGGAGGCCTGAACATGTTTCAAGATCTAGATTTACGCGATCTACCCCACCAAGCACCAGTATATGGTGACTATGCAGTAGTCCTTATTTACGTCCAAAACGCTCTCGTGTGGCAGCGGACTTTCTCCGCGCAAACGGTGGAACCGTCGGTGAGTTTGGATTCACGTTTGTCATCTTCTCGAGGGGTTCCTGGACACGTGATCCTACCCCAAAAAGCGCCTGACAACTCTAGGCGTTCTGACACGATGTCGAATCGCTAGAGTTGACGAGGCGCTTTTGGGGTAGATCACGTAAAAGCTAGATCTTGAAACATTTTCAGGCCTCTGAAGACGACGAACCAGTCGAAACGTTAGGCCTAATTAATAAATGTTCCACCTAACAACTCGTAAGGGCAGAAGAAATTAACACTTACCACTAAGCTGTATTAATGGAGACTCTGTAAGACAAGAGACAGAACAGAGTACTAATGGGGAAAGTCACAGTGTTAACTTGGTCTTCATGCAATAGTGAATGAAGGTTTGAACATTGAAGAGAGCATTGAAGAGAGCTGGCAATCTCGTTCATTCACCAATATGGAACATTCCCTTGTTTTCACCCTGCACACTGAGCAGAAGAAATGGGGGCACTCTCACAATAGATGGAGGATAGTATCACATGGGCAGAGGAAAGCGAGGAGGAAGTTACGCCGTAGAAGTATTCAAGCAGAGTCATAATAAACAGCAAACAGTAGCGCTGCAACCGAGCAGCAATGATGGTGCACCTTCGGGCTATGCTGGAAACGTTAGTGGAAGCGACAACCACGGATCGTTGCCATTTTGACCCAGAATTATTCATGTTACTTGCGCAATAAAAACGATTCTTTTTAGTCACATTAAAGACAGAGCTTTGAGTCACGCTGGGAGAAGAGGGAGGATGGAAGCGATAACGTTGACGGAATTCCTTAAAGCACTAATTCGAAAACGTTTGGGGAATGTTTGAAAGAGATGCTCCGGTTCATAGTGAACATGCGTGAGACAAGCGAGATTGGTGGTCACTACAATACCTCGATGACCACAAAATTTGGATGGACTGAATGGATGGATGAGATGGATTGAAATCGTAATTGAGATAGGAATAAGGAGACAGTTCGAAATCAACTGCAAAGGAGCAAAAAGGGCAAGAAAATAACCTGTTTATATAGAGTCGGCAGCAAACCAACAGTTCCCTTTCTACGAATGTTGTGTGCACGAGCAGCCTGCAATTCGGCAGCCATCTCCTGCGTCTGCTTGGCATAATTACCACGAAGTTGAGCTAGTTGGCGCTGAAATTCTCAATATGCTGAATACCCTTCAGCTGGAATAATTTGCAATACAATTTACTGTACCTGCAACGTTTTGCAACTTTTTTCTAGTCGCTCCACTTTCTTAGTGCTTTCCTCTAGCTCTTTATCTTTCGAATCTACCTGCTCTTCTGTTTTTCGCAGGCGAAGTCGTAGATTCGAAATCTGACGGTCTTTTTGAGAGATAGTTTTCATTAGATCTTCTACCTGAAAAAAAGATGATAGAGGCATCACTGGTGACAAAAATGCAAAATAACCTGCTCAGCAACTGCTTTGTCTCGTTCAGCACCGTCTTTACTTGCTATCCTCTTTTCTCGTTCCAGCTGTCGACGCACACGTTGCACTCTTTCCTTTTCCATCTCTTTCTCTGCTTCAAATTCACGAACATTATCACGGAATCGTTCGTACGCCATCTCTAGCTGCAAATATGCACTGGTATCAAAAAACGCTGAACAGTAATGTTTTTGGTCTACATTCCAGGCGTTAGGCCTACATCAGGTGCCCGTCACATGTAATTAAAGGTCATACTCACTGATGTTGCAGCTGTGTGTGCTGCTAAGAAAAACGAGTTCCAGAAAATCGCGCGGTAAAAAAAACTGTGGGTGGATGGCTCAGGAAAACTGATTTCCCAGTACAGCACACAACAACTGAAACAAACGTCGTTGATGCCAATTTACCAACCTCTCTGGCTCTCGTTTGCTGCTCGGCATCAGCGAGATCAAGATGAGCAATGGCGTTTCGCAACTGTTCCACCAACTTTCTTTCAACATCAGTGTACTGCGGCATATCGCGAACAGTCCTTGATTCGGGATGAAAGGTTCCATGAGTGGAGATAGGTTTCGCTGCTATCGAACGTTTCACAGTGTTGTCCTCCTAAACACCATACCGCTTATTCGAATCAAATGGCATCTTTATGGTCAATTCGGTTAGAGCGCGTTCAGACTTCGCGATCGCGCGATCGGATCGCTCGACTAGGATCGCGCGATCGGATCGCTCGACTAGGATTGCGCGATCCAAGAGCGCTATTGGGATGGGTGAAATTCAGCGGGGTGGGGGCGTTCATGTTTCACGGATATCGCCGAAGTCGTCGTCCCAAAGACTTTTCTGTTTTGAAACAGTCTTTTTTCAGAGCTGTTCGCAATCACATGTAATATCTGGTTTTTACTGAATGAGTGCTTATATTTAATTAAGCCAGTCGGATCGGCCGGGCTTCGCCGGCCGATCCTCCTTCCGCGTGTGAAGTGGGTCCCTGCGAGCAGTTTTCCATGCGGGGAGGGCCAGTCGGATCGGCCGGCTTCGCAGGGCGAATGGTCGAAAAAAATAGTTTTGAGAATTACAGCACTTTACCGTTTCACTTCTCGTATAT